CGTGTGTTTATTATTGCTGTTTTTGTGCTTGCAGTTCTTGTACTTGTGTTTGTGCTTGCAGTTCTTGTACTTGTGTTTGTGCTTGTGTTTGTGCGTGTGTTTATTATTGCTGTTTTTGTGCTTGCAGTTCTTGTACTTGTGTTTGTGCTTGCAGTTTATTTGATTGTGTTTGTGCTTGCAGTTCTTGTACTTGTGTTTGTGCTTGCAGTTTATTTGATTGTGTTTGTGCTTGCAGTTCTTGTACTTGTGTTTGTGCTTGCAGTTTATTTGATTGTGTTTGTGCTTGCAGTTTATTTGATTGTGTTGTGCTTGCAGCCATTTGCGCTGCCACTGTGTAAGGGTAAGCACAATGACCTGAAGTGCATAACGCCGGAGACCGTGTGCCGTCTCATCAACAATGAGTTCGAAGACTCCATTCACAGCTACACGATCATCGACGCACGCTTCCCCTACGAGTTTGAGGGCGGCCACATACAGGTAGCGCCATCTGTTGCTGTGCAGGCGGTCAATTATCTCTGTTGTCGTACGTGGGGTTCTGATACTCGGCTAAGCACATATGCGAGTCCGGAGTCGCCATCTGTTGGGCAGATTTCTAACTGCAATGAAGTCGCATGTGAATCACACGTCACTTGTGTGAGTTGACCTGTCCATCGGAGCGAGATAGCCATGCCCGCTCTAGAACACTGTTGCTAAGTCGGTCAGGCTAACGTGGGTTAGACGTGGTGCGCTCCAGAATGTCGACCTAACAGCACTTTGTCACTAAGCACTCCTAGTGCAACAATAATTAGCTGGCTCCTGTGTCAGTCATGCAGGGTCTAGATCGAATTAATTATGTGTCACGTGTGTAAAATGTGTGTAGATTTGTTGACACGTGATGTGGACGCAGAACGTCAACTGCGTATATGCAACAGACGATTTCTAAATGTGGGTCTTTGCTTGCAGGGCGCGAAAAACATTTATACCAAAGACCACCTGCTCACAGAGTTCATGGATGCTAAAGTTATCAACGCTCTCAATCTTAGCAAGCGAACCATTCTAGTCTTCCACTGCGAGTTCTCATCCGAGCGCGGGCCCGGTCTGTAAGTATCCATCTTAAAAAGGATTCGTACTCTAGAAATGTTATACTCTACTACTCTAGTATATTTTAATACTTACTGCATAAAAATGGTGTAGACTTGTGTATATCTGTTATCAGACATTTGTAATAAAGCAACACTGAGTTCACTGATTTTTGGGTGCTGCTATGACACTGTCTGACTCCACCCACTACCACCAGACGAAGCTTCACATGTGAATTTTAATTTGACATTTTTAGACCAGGAGTTACTCACAAAAGTGCCATTATGTTTACGCACCTAACTATTATATAACCAAACGACTTTTTGTTTATCTACATTATCTAACTGAACCTAAGTAATGGTGAAATGTAAGATACTGCGATCCATCTTCTCTTACATTAATAAATAATGAACACTCTGTCTATATAGCATGTGGCTGAAATGTTAGATGGCACAAAATCAATTGTGGATGTACCTGTATATATAGTGTAATACGTAGCAATATGATCATCAACAGTTTGAAAACAGTTTTTTTAAATATATCTAGTGAATATTTAATCACGATTTTTGAAGCATAATTTGTGCATATAATAAGCATAAGTAAACGTACTTTAACTGAAAGTAAGTGTTCAGTCTAGAGCATCGTTTCCATTTTAATATCATCGCTAACTTTATTAGCGTGAGTGTAGTAAGTAAGTAGTGATTGTCTTGTCTAATTCACATGGGGTCTGATAAATAGCATGACTGTTCACTTCAGCTCGCGTTTTCTGCGCAATATGGACCGTGATGCAAATAAGGAGGCTTACCCGCAGCTGTGTTATCCTGAGGTGTATCTCCTTGAAGGTGGCTATAAGGCTTTCTATCACCACTGTAAGGTAAGAGGTATTTGCACTGTGTACAGCGGCAACGCTGCATCGTTTCACTTCAAAGGACCGGATTGCTCACTTGAAATTCATGTGTAACTAGCAAGTGTAATTCGTATTCTAATTGGTCGGCGGAAAAGTGTGTGTGTGTGCGTGCGTGCGTGCGTGTGTCGCTAGCTGTTACTAAGCATGGCCGTCGCTACCTTGTTTTTGTAGGAGCTCTGCGAGCCGCGCTCCTACCTGCCGATGAACATCAAGGGGAAGGAGGATGAGCTGAGACTGTTTAAGGCGCGCTCCAAATCATGGAATGGCGAGAAAGCAGGCCGGCCAGCCGCACGGCCCGGTCTCTGCTCCGGCCGGCCTTGACCCTGTCTCTGCTGCACGCAAGAGGAGAGACTGCTGGGAGGAGCTGCTACAGGGAAGCATCCCTGTTCGTCGTCGCAAGCAAAGGCGGTGGAGTGGAGCGGCTGCGGGAAGCAGGCATGAGGGGATTCGGGGGATTCGGGGAGCGAGAATGAAAAGGTATGGGGACCCGGGAGTGAGAATCAAAGAGTGGAAGCTGGAATTGCAGATGTTCCCGACATGGATGAGAGAAAGAGAGAAAGAAGCCGCATGATGCAACAGGGAAACGGAGTCGGCATTGTCACATCGTTTAGCCTTCCTCTATGGAGACATGGGTGTCACGCAGAAAGTCGGATTAAGGAACAGTGACAAACTCGGAAATATGATTAGATGTGGCAATGCCAGTTATCCCATCCCAGATGGGTTCATTGTTTCCGGGTGAAGAAGTGTTCACAGTATCTTTAGTGGAACAATATCTAGTATTGTATAGCACAGAATCGCTATCAGTAGTTGTACGTTGTTTCTGCAAGGAAACAATAATCCAACAAAGGCTCAAAGGGCAAATTGATCAAGGATTTCATGAAGGACTATGGATCTAATGTTAATGAAAGATCAAGTATCTACTGTTAATGAAAGATCAAGTATCTACTGTTCATCAAGGATCAGGGATTTACTGTCTATCAATGGTCTACTCTCCATCAATGATCTACTGTCCATCAATGGTCTACTGTCCATCAATGATCTACTGTCCATCAATGGTCTACTGTCCATCAATGGTCTACTGTCCATCAATGATCTACTGTCCATCAATGATCTACTGTCCATCAATGGTCTACTGTCCATCAATGGTCTAGATC